GGTTTTACTTTTTCTGGTATGATAATCGTCGGCAGATTTTTAACGGTGCCTGTACACACTAAACTGTTTCTGAGCCCAACCAATCAAAGTATTGACGTTAATTCAAAAAGTTATGATATTGTTGTATGTGTTCAAAATTTCACGAAATTATTCATTTACGTTTATACAAAACCAAAAAAGGGTTATCAGTGTTGCCGTTGTGGTTAATATAAATAGGTCAGAGAAATTCATACATAGGTATAAGAATATGGCGAAGATTATAAACGGAAAAACTATCGCAAAGTAAATGTAACGAATATATCATAAATTATCGTGACCGAATATAATGAAAATAATAGACCTTACGGTTCCAATACGAATTTGAAAAATGTAGGTCCATCCGAGAAAAAATTTGCGATGAAGTTTATCAATTGAAACGAAGATATCCTAGTTTTAATCCTCGACTTGCAATTGTTCAAGTTGGAAATAGGGAAGATTCTGCTGCATATGTGAGACAGAAAGAACAAGCCGCCAAAGAGGTACAGTAATTCATCATTCACGTGATCGATGATCATAGTTCGATATATGTTGCAATAATCAGACTTGATATTCTTCTAGGCTGGAATTGATTTTATTTTACAAAAAAAAAACGAATCAATTACAGCGGACGAGGTGCCAACTTTATATCTCTTTAATTTCATTGTGCCCAATTGTTACGTACTAATATGAAGTTATCACAAATAGCTTTTGAGATTGGTTCATGAATTAAACTATGATCCATCTATTCATGGCGTGTTGGTTCAGCTTCCTTTACCGGAACATATCAATGAAAGATGTATTATTGAAGCTATTGATCCAAAAAAAGATGTTGATGGGTAATCTAGTCCTACATCGTTATATGCTTGCTTTTGTATAGCAGGAATTTTATTTTATTGACTGGCTTTTTAAATCACTTTAGATTTCATGCATATAATATCGGAAGGTTGGCCAAAAGAAATTGCGATCCTTTATTTTTACCATGCACTCCCAAAGGAATCATCGAATTATTGAATCAAACTGGTATGAATTATATATACCATTTACAATGAATTGCCATTAGTTCATGTCAATCAATGGAATCATTATATATCGACATTAGGAATTATTATTTCAAGTAAGCGCACCGTTGTGGTCGGCCGTAGTGATATTGTGGTAAACATTATTTTTTTGCTATTACAGTTTATATATAGCAGAACATTTCATGATTCTTTTTTAAATATTTGCACTCCTAGGGATTTCCCATGTTTACACTCCTACAAAAAAGAAATGCTACGGTTACATTGTGTCATTCAATGACGGCAAACCTTCCTGAGATTGTATGCATCTTTCTTTTGCGTATCAAACATTACTTCTGTTTATTTATAATTGACAATGGTCAAAATCTTTAATCTAGGTCAAAACAGCTGAAATCCTAGTGGTGGCTATTGGAAAAGCAGAGTTCATAAAGGGCGATTGGATAAGTCCTGGCACAGTGGTCATTGATGTTGGAACCAATGCGATTAAAGGTAGTTAAAAATTTGTTCTCTATAATTATCTGACTTGTTGACTAATCATTAATCTATTTATTAGATTCCACAAAAAAAACAGGCATTCGATGGGTAGGCGATGTAGAATTTTCATCCGCCTCTGCAGTAGCATCATACATAACGCCAGTTCCTGGTGGTGTAGGTCCAATGACAGTTGCAATGTTGTTACAAAACACAGTGGAAAGTGCTAAAAGGTTTCTGAAAGAAAGTAACGAACGTAAGATATCCACGTTGGCCTTGAAGCGAGTTGTACCTGTCCCAAGCGATATCGATATTGCAACTTCACAAACACCTAAACATATTAAAGTTCTGGCTGAAGAATTGGGACTGACCCCGAATGAGGTAAGACTTTTATTATATTAAAAAATAATTCGTATTGTAATTAGGTATTAAATTGGTCCTTTTTAGTTTGACTTATATGGGCAATACAAAGCCAAAGTAAGTCTTTCAGTTATTGAAAGATTGAAATCGCGAAAAAATGGCAAATATGTTGTTGTAACAGGGTATGTGTTTGGAAGTTGCAAGTTATCTCACTTATTAAGTTTAGTTGTTAATATCATTAATTACATTATTGTAATGTTTGTAGAATAACGCCAACACCATTAGGTGAAGGCAAATCTACAACTACCGTTGGTATAGCACAAGCATTGGGTGCGCACTTGGGAAAGCTTTCATTCGCATGTGTTAGGCAACCTTCACAAGGACCGACATTTGGCATCAAAGGAGGAGCAGCTGGTGGTGGATATGCTCAAGTCATACCAATGGACGAATTCAATTTACATTTAACAGGAGATATACATGCTGTTACCGCAGCAAACAACCTGTTAGGTAGTTTTATGCTTATCTTACCCATGTCTATTTAACAACTAAATTTAACGAATTCTAATTCTTTCTTAGCCGCTGCAATTGACGCACGGATGTTTCATGAAAACACTCAGACAGATAAAGTAATATAAAAATTAATTTGTGTATTGAATTTGACAATTTACCTTTTTCTTTTTTAATATTTATATATTCCATTATTTAGGCTCTTTTCAATCGCTTATGCCCAGCTAAAAATGGTATTCGTGTCTTTGCCCCTGTAATGTTGAAGCGATTACAAAAGCTTGGAATTGATAAGACCGATCCTAATGATTTAACCCCTGAAGAGATTAGCAAGTTTGTTAGGCTAGACATTGACCCTGAGACAATTACATGGTTTGTTATATATACATTATTGTCCGAAGGACATTACATGCAGAGGTAGCATGCTGATTTTGATTGGTTGATCGGACTGATTCCTTAGTTTAATTAGCCAATCAAATTCCTTCGGACTTTAAATGTCTTCCACTTATCTAGTAATATATTAATACTATATTGATTGGATACTAAAATGATATAGGCAAAGAGTAATTGACACAAATGATCGATTCTTACGACGCATTACTATAGGACAAAATTCCACAGAAAAAGGTCAAACGCGTTCGACAGGGTTTGACATTTCGGTTGCCTCCGAATGTATGGCAGTTCTTGCGTTAAGTACGTCTCTTGAAGACTTGCGAGAAAGATTGGGTAGAATGGTAGTGGCTACGAATAAAGCTGGTGATTCTTCTATAACTGCAGATGACCTTGGGATAGGAGGTGCATTAACAGTATTAATGAAAGATGCGATCAAACCAAACCTTATGCAGACGTTAGAAGGAACACCCGTGTTTGTTCATACTGGTCCATTTGCAAATATTGCACACGGAAATAGTTCTATATTAGCAGATAAGATTGCACTTAAGTTGGCGGGAGTTGAGTGCGATGCGGAAGGAAATCCAGTGGAAGGAAGCGAAGAAGGTTATGTGATAACAGAAGCGGGATTTGGGGCTGATATTGGAATGGAAAAATTCTTCAATATCAAATGCAGACTATCAGGGTTGATACCTGATTGTGTTGTTATAGTTTCTACAGTTAGAGCTTTGAAAATGCATGGCGGTGGGCCTGAAGTGAGTACTGTAAATATGTATTTTGATTTAAAGTACCTTATGGCACACTTAGTACTTCTGGTATAAATATATATATATATAGGTTACATTACTAATATAGTACCTGGTTTGGGATACTTTTCACTGGTAGTACTATAATGCGCGCTATACGGTGATATGTTAATAGAGTACATTATTGATATTGTAAATTTTTTATTTTTGCAGGTTACGCCTGGGAATCCATTACATGAAACTTATTTAAGCGAAAATCTTGAATTATTGGAAAAAGGATGTGTTAATCTTGTTAAGCATATCAAAAATGCAAAAAAATATGGTTTGCCAGTTGTAGTTGCTATTAATAAATTCACGTAAGCCACCATAATGCAATAATTCAATTTTAGTTGTCTTTATTTATAAACTCGATTTTTTACCATTATCATATTTGGAAATAGATCTGATACACGAGCTGAACACGAATTAATTCGTAAGATTGCAATAGAAGCAGGTGCAAATGACGCGATACCAGCGGCACACTGGGCATTGGGAGGAGAAGGTGCAATCGAGTTGGGGAAAGCGATCATTAAGGCGACAACCGATAAAACAGAGAAGCGAGAATTTAAGTTTTTATATGATGTAAACAAACCAATCGTCGAAAAAATTGAAATTATTGCAAAAGAAATGTATGGAGCTGATGGAATAGAGTTGAGTGAGAAAGCTATTGAAAAAGTTGAAAGATACACTAAACAGGTAACTAACTACATGATTTAATAAAAACATGACTAATTCTAACTGCACTATATGGCATTTGTATAAATTTAATAAGGGATTTGCGAATTTACCAATATGCATGGCCAAAACGCATTTATCTCTTTCACATGATCCAAAACTTAAAGGTGTACCTACAGGATTTGTAGTACCAGTACGAGACATTCGAGCATCAGTGGGAGCAGGGTTTTTATATCCATTGTTAGGGGAAATGCAAACCATGCCTGGATTACCTACTGTGAGTAATTAATATATCTAGAAATTGTAGTTTTTTTACATTTACTGTGAATAATAATAATTTTTAACTTATGAACATCACAGAGACCGTGTTTCTTTGATGTTGATTTAGAACCAGAGACTGGTAGAATATATGGATTATTTTAATATGTAATTTTACAGGTTATAACAATTGATTGTACTATATATCCTTAAATCTTATCCAAAAAGATTGAATTTACCTAAGTTTATCAATAATTGAAATTGTTTACGTAGGATTTTGCCAATGCAGATTACGTAAATTCTCGAAATAGCGGGCATGAGCGTTATTTCGAATTTTGGCCCGAATTAAGCTTAATTCGGGCCAAAATTCGAAATAACGCTCATGCCCGCAATTTCGAGAATTTACGGTATGCTTTTATGAAAGAGTATTTCTAAGCGTCTATGGCTGGTGATGCTAACGTATATCAGTGTTGTCATGTCTACTATGTCCAAGACTTTTTAGGTCATGTTCAATATCCAAACGTCTGCATGTCAAGAATGTCCACGGCATATTCAATTCTCAATAATTAATATATTAATTTAAGGGTAGGGTGTACGTAGATCATTTTTCATATGATCTGCATGGGACATTGAATTTTTACATAGTAAATAAAAAATTGCTTCTGATTAAACTTTTTAGCATTTCAGTTAATTTTTATCAAATTTATATGATATGTAGTTTAAACTAGTTTGTTTATAATAGTGAAGTTGCGAAAATACATTGATTTAAAAAAATTGAACTTTATATATAATTAAAGTTTCTGGTGTTGCTATATGTTTTTTCGGGGGTTACACAGAAATTGCTAGTTCTGATTGGTCAAATCATATGATGTTTACATGTAAATCATATGATATCATATACACAAAGCTGATGTACAATCTATTTTATATAAAATTGGAAATTTGTACACCCTACTTTTTTTTTTTTTTTTTTTTTTTTTTTTTTTTTTTAAATTTGCTGTATACAGGGATAAGATGTACATCCTACTTTTAAAATTATATAATTATAGTGCTAAATATTTTTATTAAAAAGGATAATAACATTTTGAATAATTTTATATCCACACTGTCTAGTGACAAAACTACTTCAGTATTATTACATATTGACATGACTGCCTTAGTTTTATGATGCATTACATCAAATATCAGTCACCTGATTTGTCACACTTATTTGTATCTAAATTTTATATATAAAATTATAGCAAAAACATATAGAATTACTTATAAACTTTGAAGCTGTGATGTTTCTTCCCTTACATATTAACTTTAAATTAAATTTTATGAATAAATACATCATAAAAAGGAGAATAAAATGCTTTCGAAGCTGAATTAAAATTTTGCAATTTTTGTACAATTTAAAAATGTAACTTTGCCAAAAGAAAAAATTTAACAGTTTTAAAGCAAAAAATATATATAAAATTATACTCTGAACAACTCCTATTAGAGGATCAAAAAGGTTATCTTAGTACAAAAAAAAGTTTTCTATGTACTAATGTCAAAATTTTCAGTTTTCCTATGTAAAACTTTTTTTTCTGCTTAAATAACCTATTCTAACCTCTTAAGCAAATTTGTTCAGCACACAATTCTACATATTTTGCGTTTTGCCAATTTTGTTTTTTTGAACATTTTACTAAGTGAAAGATTGTATTAAAGGTTACATGAAAAATTTTTATGTAACCTTTGATACAATTTTTCACTTAGTAAAATGTTCAACAAAACAAAATCGGTGAGACACAAAATATGTAGAATTGTATGCTGAACAAATTTGCTTAAGAGGTCAGTATAGGTTATTTAAGCAGAAAAAAAAGTTTTATATAGAAAAACTGAAAATTTTGACATTAGAACATAGAAAACTTTTTTTTGTACTAAGATAACCTTTTTGATCCTCTAACAGGAGTTGTTCAGAGTATAATTTTATATATATTTTTTGCTTTAAAACTGTTAAATTTTTTCTTTTGGCAAAGTTACATTTTTAAATTGTACAAAAATTGCAAAATTTTAATTCAGCTTCGAAAGCATTTTATTCTCCTTTTTATGATGTATTTATTCATAAAATTTAATTTAAAGTTAATATGTAAGGGAAGAACCATCACAGCTTCAAAGTTTATAAGTAATTCTATATGTTTTTGCTATAATTTTATATATATAAAATTTAGATGTAACAAATCGGTTGACTAATATATTAAATGTTGTATTACTACTATTAGAAATTTTATCAAAAATGAGAGATTATTAAAAACATGATTTTTGAAGTTTTAATTGTAATTAGAGTTAGAGTTAGTTTAGTATTAGAGTGAGGGCAGGTATATAAATAAAATTCTTTTTTTGGTATCTTTTATTAATATACTAAGACAGGTTTAGACTGTTATGTATTTTTCATATTTTTTTATTTTTATTATTTTTTGATTTCTTTAGGCTAATAATTTTAATTAGAAATCTATATAGAAAAGTCATATAAGTATAAGGTTTTAGCAACCTTTGTAGCTCATTTACAAAAAAATTTTCTAGTATATGAATTTAGCCAATTAGAGAAATAATGTAAAAATCATGTCTTTTTAAAAATTCACTAACTTTTATAAATTTGTCTTTGCATTTTAATAAAAAGTGAATAACTAATTTTCACCCATAGTGATATCACCCAGTATTATAAAATTTTTATTAAAAATTAAATAAATTTAAAATTAGGGTTAGGTTCAACTTAGGTTAAGAATAAAAGGATCTAAATATATATAAAATTTGATGCTGAAAACTTTTGCTTAGAAGTTAAAGCATAGTTTTTATAATTAAATTTTGTTATTAAGAAATTTTAATTTTTTTTCTTTCTTTACTTTGGTTTAGTTACACAAGATCCAGAAATCTGATTGGTCTTTATACAATCAGATAACATTACCCAGGATGAAAATTAGCAACACCTAATAAAAAAAATTTTTTATAAAATTTGATATGTTATATTTTCTTTTAATCTTATTCTTAATCTAAAGATGAAGCTTATTATTGTATTATTTTAATTAATGATTCTTTAGTGAACTGAAGAATGATCATAGTATAAAATAATGTAGTTCTATATATAAATCACTATAGATGTAAAAGAAAAAATTTTCTAGTAATTGTTCAAGAAAAACTTTTTTTGTATTAAATTAAGGGATCTACTATTTCCATCATGAAAAATTGCTATTTCCACTATAGTTATACAAGATTTTCTATTTTTAGTTTAACCAATAATATAAAATTAATATTAAAACTAATTTTTTAAAAATTAAAGAAGTTTTTATTAAGTTAAGGTTTGTTAGGCTTCTAAGTAAAGTTGTAGAAAAGAATTTTCTGGTTCTAATAGTAGTTAGATTATTAAAATCGGTCTTGTAAATCTCAAGATACTTGGAGTTAAAGATATAAACATAAGGATTTAATATAAAAAATCAATTTTTTTAAAATTAAAGAAGTTTTTATTAAGTTAAAATTTGTTGGACTTCTAAGTAAAGTTGTAAAGAAGATTTTTCTAGTTCTAATAGTAGTTAGATTATCAAAATTGGCTTGGTGAATCCCAAGATATTTAGGGTTAAAGGCACAAACATAAATTAACCTCAAATATCTTGAGATCCACCAAGCTAATTTTGATAATTTAACCACCATTAGAATCAGAAAAATCTTCTCTACAACTTTATTTAGAAGCTCAACAAACCCTAACTTAATAAAAACTTCTTTAATTTTAAAAAAATTGATTTTTTTTATATTTATATTTTTAAATTTAAATATTTTAAATAACTAAAAATAGAAAATCTTGTATAACTATGGTGGAAATAGTAATTTTCTATAGTGGAAATAGTAGATTCCTAAATTAATTACCTTTGAGTTTTTAAGTAAAGTTGTAGAGCTTATTAAAATAAATCTTATGGTAGTTATATCATCCAAATTAGATATCTTTGAAAAATTCTTTATATTGTTCTTAAAGAATTTTATATAAACAGTAAAATGTTTTTTTTGTCTCAATGAGCTCTACAACTTTACTTAAAGACTCAAAGGTGATTAACTTAGTATGAAAAAAGTTTTTTTTAAACAATCACTAGAAATTTTTTCTTTTGTATCTATAGTAATTTTGGATGTTCTATAGAATAGATAAGCAAACTCTGCAAACTCCACAACTCTGATATTAAAAATTAATGATTACTAATTATTAGCAAAGTTTATTTCTTATAAAATTGTATCAAATTATACTACTATATGATTATTCTTCAGTTCACTAAAGATTCATCTATTAAAGTTTTTTAATTTAATTGTTTTAATTTTATATTACATCTAATTCTTAGATTTAATTAGTTAAAAATTATACTTAGAAAAATTTTTTGTAAACTCACTTTAGCAATTTCACAAAAATAAATATTAAAATTGCATTTTTTTATAGTATAAGGATATTGATCAAAAGGTTTTGAATTTTATAACATATAAATATCAACTAATTAAATTTATATAGTATATTTTTTCTACTTAGGTTATTTTGTTGATATCTTTTATTAAAATTTTTTTTTTGATTTTAAGGTAACCTCTTTGTCACACTGCTCTTTATTCAAATATTAGTAGTATTTTTAACCATCAGATATATCTGACGGCTGTACATATTTGTTAGATACAACTAGCCATACCTACGCCTTTTGAGCATCTATTTAAGTAGTCTGCCTATCATCAGGTTCTACACTAGATGCCATATCTGCAACCCACTAGGGGTTACCTATTTAAACCCTCTGTGCCTATATACCAACTCTTTTATATTCAAGTGATGATACTTAGTACCACCATATTTTTACATGCTGGCTTAGAGCTTTAAAGCGGTCTCTACCATTTAGGAAGTCTTTTGACCTCAAGGTAAACCTGCTAAAGCTTTCCATACCCATGTTTAGACTGATCTAAACTTCAGTAACTTACACCTAGTCTGAAAACAAGTACTTGTGAACTGAAGCCACTACCATTACCTACTTCTGCCCTTATAAAGTTTATCCA